CTGTGATGGATAGCCTTCAAATTCAACGAATATTAGCATTCTAAAAAACCTGCCAAAATCTATGAGGGATAGCCTTCAAGTCAACATATAATTGTATTTAAATTTTATGATGAATAGCCTTCAAATTGATAAAATCGGCCAAAATATGTGATGGATACCCTCCAAAAAAAATCAATCAAAATATATGATTGATAGCCTTTAGAAATTTTTCTGATAGTCACGATATCTCCTACAAATGGTCTCTCTTCTGTTTTCCTCTTTAGACTCATATATACATATATATATATATATATATATGGTGCCTTCTACGGTACCCTGGGTGAAATCCGGGGTACCGCATACCTTGAGTATGAAAACGATATCCATACCTCGAATTAGCAGGATTTTTGGGCATGATACTATACGGTAGGGATGGCAATGGTTCGGGTTGGGGCGGGTTTTGTCAAACCCAAAAACCCATGGGTTTATCCGCCAAAAAAACCCGGGGTAAAACCCACTGGGTTTGAAAAACTCAAACCCAACCCAACCCGCTGGGTATCCGTGGGTTTTTGTGGTAAAAAATTTACAATAACAAGTTTCTTTCAAAATAAAAGTTTAACATTAATTTTCTCATACAAATTATTCATACAAAAAACATCAATCTAAAGCAAACCGCAAATGATCAATACAAATTGTTCAAAATTAAAGATAAACATCTATAAACAATAAGATTAATTGAAAGCTTCTTACTAGTCAACTAAGTTTCTTCACTCTCCACTTCATAATATCAACTTCATTCTAAACAATTGGAAACAACAAATTATATATGTCTCCACAAACATAAAGAATATTAATTGTTTAAGGAAGATATATTATTTAGAGTATTAAATATACCGGGAAAGTAATTATATGTGTGTGGGCGGGTATCCATGGGGCGGGTTTACCTAAACCCAAACCCAACCCGACCCGGTGAATAGTGTAGCGGGTTTAAACCCGAACCTGGCCCAAAACCCGTCAACACGGGTTTTACCCGCGTTGACCGGGTTGGGTCGGGTGGGTACCCGTGGGTTCGGGTTTTGTTGCCATCCCTAACTATACCCTAACTCTTAATGAGTGAACCCTAGGTCCTAATTATCTAAATCATAATCTATAAACTCTAAGATGGTGCATTGATTTTTTTGCCTATATTTGGACGAATCATAACCGTCGATTATTGTTTCTAATTAAATTGATCTGGGGATATAAGATTTATAGAATTAAGACCTAGATTGTGATCTTTAAGGGTTAGAGTTTAGTATCATGTCCGAAAGATCAGTCAATTCAAGTTCTGAATAGCGTTTTCTTAATCAAGGTATGCGGTGCCCCGAATTTCACCATCGGTACCGTAGAACTCCCCATACATACATATATATACGTATATATATATATATGACCATCAACTACTTTGAATATTTGTTGCACTGCGTCATGAATGTTATAAACCAGTTGGTTCCAATAATTCAATTTATTGGAAGAGGGTTATGTTGTATCTTATACCACTCTCTAACATGCCCCTCAAACGAAAACCAACTCACGAGCTTGAAGTTTGCATAGACCCTCCATATATTGTGCTTTAATCGACTGTTAATATTGCGAGTCATGGAGATTCGAACACAAGACCTTTCGGCTATAGAAGGCTCTGATACCATGTCATAAACCAGTTGGCTCCAAGAACTCGAGTTGTTGGAAGAAGATATGTTGGATCTTATACCACTCTCTAACAATTGCCACATGGTTCATGAAATCATAATGTACTGGCGGTTCAACCACAAAATACCATCATCAGAGGTTAAATCGCTATGCGGTATTTAATAGTATTAACGATTGAACTACGATTAAACCACGATTTTACCATAAAATACTCTATCGCTGACTTTCCCGGTAAAGTTTCATTGGACTATGCATTTCTTTTTTCCTTTTAGTTAAAAAATGCATTACTAGTATGAATTCTAACTAATCTATCCCTTTTTCCAGAGAATATCATGTACGAGTGATATTGGTCAGAACGTACAACTATAATCGAGCAAATGTAGCTTGTGAGGACATCCCAAAACTAATTGAAGATATCTTTCTAGACAACAAAGAAATTAAAGTTCCCTTTACTTATATAATTCCTACAAATTTATAAAAAGATGTGTAAAGTCGTGCGATGACTCAAACTTTAAAGTCAAGAAGGTTAAAGAGTACCATGTACTTATAAGTTCCAACTTCATGATTTATTGTTTAATTTATTGCACTGAAAATGAAATAGAAAAGACTTGGATGATGGATGGTGACTTTATATATAAATAAATATATGTATGCTTGTTAACTAATTTTATTATTATATATTGAAAGCAACATTATTGAGGCCTGAAGGGGGTCTACTTCTTTGCTTTACAGATTATAATTTTAAGTTTCATTAATTTTCATAATTGATGTGAATTCGCAGAAATAAAAATGGGTAAATATTATTATTATTATTATTATAAAATGCATGATAATTTTTTTTTATATTCACAAATTTATAAAAGTAAATTATGAATAAGGTTTCATTATTTTTAGGATAGTGGAGGAAATGATTAGAGGTGGATTCCATCCACCGCTGGCTTGGGATACCTTTGCTGTCTATCCCATGAATGAAGGAGAATCTTTGGGTTTCCTTTTTATTTTCATTTTGGGAAAGCAAAGTGAGAAAGCGAGAAGAATTACAAATTTATATTCTTTTCGTTTCACGCGCATAATATTATAAACAAAACGAAGCCTTTCTCTAAGCTCTTAGAAACCCGTTGATTCTAAAGTAATTAATCACTAATCCTGTTTCCTAATCCTTTTACGTTCGTAATCATGGATAACCCGACGGGGGCGTTTTATTGAGGTTGGGAAAAGGCGGGCGCCTGCCAGACAGAGACAGACAGCCATTTCTGTTCTTAGTTTTGTCTGTCTTTTTAGTTTTGTCCTTTCACACCCAAACGGAAAAACGACAATCGGCGGACGGAGCTAGCCTGCTGAGAGATGCTCCGATCAAGCAACCAAGCTAAAGCACAACGCAACGCAACAAAGGTCAAGAAAAGGGAGGGAAAGTTCTGTACTTTTCTTTTTAGTGTCTGATCTTGTTAATGAACCATCTAATTACATACTTAATTAATTTGAAGAAAGCGGATGTAAAAACCAACGGCCAAAAAAGGGGGTTTTGTGTCAAATTGCTCGAGGTGGCCCTAATCACTCATGATTTTATCTAAGGAAACGGCTGGAGAAACCAACGGCCAAAAATGGATTCTGTGCCAAGTTGCTAATAGTGACCCCAATTATACACAAAGAACAAAGAAGCGACCAATTAGTAATTGAATAAACTCTATTGGAGATATATAAAAAAAACCTTGATTCACGCATTCTTTTATTTATTCACGTAAATTTGAGTTTATTCACTCAATATTTGTGTTATACACGTAAGAATGTTGATTATTCACGCAATCAATATTTTTAGGTCGCACAATCTGATGTTTATTCACGCCGTAGAGAAATAAAATTTTAAAATTCGAAATATATAAAATGGATGTCATTATATAGATTATCGTGGAAAGTTTCAAAATGAACATTGACACAAAACAGCAGCAGCAGGCGCAGAATCCACACTTTTCTTTGTACAAACTGCCTGTTTTGTTTGCTTTTGCCGTTTCCACCAAGTAACAGTATTCAACGGCAGTTTTTTTCCCATCAGTTTCTTTCAAGCCCTCTTATCTCCTTTGCGATTTTCTTAAACTGGGCTTGACGTCACCTCGGGGTGCTTTTGTCAAAATAATAAGGATTTCAAGATTTAGATTAGATAATAATTTATTTAGATATATTATGGGGATGGGGTTGGGAATCGGATTAGTATGAACAATCAAAGTCCACAATATAGATGATTAGCGTGGTGTTAAGGAAAAAAAGGTGTCCATCTGTCTCCTTTTTTAGCCCAAATTCCTTTCTTTCATATCTTGCCATAAGCATGGTATCCACGTCTAATCCCAAACCTATCCACGTCTAATCCCATCGGTTATTTCGGTTACCAATTAGTCGATAACCGGCCAGTTATCGGTTTAATCGGCCGGTTAACCGGTAACCGGTTATCGAACTGTCACCCCAATGTATAGGAGTGGGGTTTCAGTTTCACCAGTGTATTAAGAAATTTGATCATGTTGCGGAGTACAGGTTTACTACATATATTACCACGGTTATACTATTGTGTTGTGATCCGTCTAGTATTTTCGATTTGATTTCTAATATTAACTTCACCAATATTTGATTTGATTTTGAGGGCATGACATTCCTGCTGATCTATGATTACAAGTTTCATCAATTACTACAATTTCTAAGTACAACTGCATAGGTACTTTTTAGGATGGGTTCATAATGATAAGGGGCTTAATTGTCCTTAAAATGATTCGGGATATCTAATGAAATGTCTGATAACAAAATTTTACTTGTTACCTAATGAAATGTCTAATAACAAATTTTTGATGCGCACAATTTTATTTATAATCATTAGATTCATACTCAGCTATTCCGATCTAGACATTTTTTATTGTTTTTTTATTTATGAAATGATTACAATATTAATATTACGGTGCAATTGGACTCTATTATGTGTCATAGAACAATCTAAATGTTTGAAGTAAAACTTCATTGAATAACATGAAAGAAGACTGGGATTATACACAAAATGGATCACTGGAACCAAATTTTACAGCCAGATTAAATTATCAAAAGGTAAAAAAAATAAATTTTCAAAGCAAACCTCCCCATCGTCACAAGATCTCACATCAAGTATTCATATATAATAATAACATCCAGCAGCCATAAATTCATCTTTTTCTTGAAGTTGAATCCAACTCCAAAAACCCTCCCCCTTCTCCCCCAACTATAAATATCATCAGATCCCAACAGAAATGCCACAAATAAAAATGAATAATCACCACCACCGCAACAAAAAAGAAAAACAAATAAGAACAACCACCACCTTATGAAGAAACGGGCTTGGTCTTAGTCCTGTAGAGCAGCTTCTTCTTCTTGCTACTCTGGTTATCAATGGTGATCACAACTTTCCCCGCTTCCCCTGCCTTGAAACTGTCGTAGATCACCGCCTCGTCCGTCGGCGCTAGCTTCCTGTTCTTCGACACGATCACCGTGTATCCATTCTCCACGCTCGGCGAGAACTCCGCCCCGTAGCTCACCTCCCATCCCAACACCCTCAGCTCCCATACCAATGTGCAACTCTGAAAAATGTTATTCCATTGGTACAGATTGTAAGAATGAATGTAATCCGCGAAATCAATGCATTTTATTGTCAGAAAACCGTGAATTCGATTTACCTCGGTGGCAGGGAGTTCAATGGTGTGCTTAGCGGCAGGCTTGATTACAATCTCAGTCACAGCATCAGAGGTAGTGAATTCATGGTCCCCGTCTTTGCTCATCCCGCCGTACTGAACAGGCACTTGCTCTGGGGCTACGTACCTAACAAAAATTTTGACCAAATTCAGCCCCAAATCTCTTCACCAAATTTCAAAGATTCCTTTCCCCTTTCCAACAATGATCCAAAACAGAGGAATTCTGATTCAAAGAAAGAAAGACTTACTTGAATAGAGTCTCAGCAGATTTGGACGGTCCAGCAAACACAAACTTGCTCTTGGTCCTCTGAGTCAGAAATGGGCTGATCATCTTGTTGAATGCTAGGTACCACCATGGGACGTTGATGAACACCTTTGGAAATTGAAATCGACTTCAATCAATAACGTTCTAACAACAGCGCAATTCGTTGTTCGAAAATTCGCGAAAGAAGACTTGTAGTTTGTTAGTTTACCTGTCTGGCGACGAACTCGGGGTAGTTATCCTGGAGGATGCTAAGGGCTTGATTGGTAGCTTGACGGAGCTCGCGCTTGAGAGGCCCGGGGGAGTTCTTCAGATCGTTGATCTGAACGATGGTGCAGATTCCGGTGGGGCTGAAATCGAGGTTCCGGATGCTCTTCTCGAGGAATTGGATCCTCCATCGGAGGAATTTCTTGCTCTTCTCGTCGTCGCCGAAGCAATTCTGGTAGAGCTCCTTGTCCTGGAACCCGCCGTAGACGTTGTAGCAGACGGGGTGGCCTTCCTTGTCGACTCCTTTGGTGAAGACGACTTTCTCCAGCTCGTTTCCGAGGTCTTCTTCCAGGAGGGAATCGATTCCGAATTCTTTCCTCCAGCGGACGGTGTTCTTGATCATGGTGAAGGCGTCCTTCACCTTGAAATCCCTGGCGCGGAGGAATTTCAGGAGGATCACGTCGCTGCGGTCGTCTCCGAGGAGCGGGATCCCGTAGATGAAGACCTCCTCCGGCGGCGGAGGTGGAGCGGCTTCCTCCTCTGTTTTCGGCTCCTCTGTTTTGGTTTCCTCTGGTTTGGTGGAGGATGAGGCATCGGGAGCTGATTCAGCAGCTGGTGGTGGTGGTGGCTCGGTGGAGGCTACGGCGACGATCGTCTCCTCGATCGCCTCAACGGTTTTCGCTCCGTCTTCATCGACGGCTGGAGCGGCGATGACGTCGGCGACGGTTGTGGTGGTGGCCTCTTCCTTCACATCCTCTTTCTTATCTTCAATTTTGACTTCCACTTCCTCTTCCTTCTTCACCTCCTCCACCGCGGCGGCTGGAGCTGCTTCCGCTGCCGGAGCTGCTTCAGCTGCTGGAGCCTCCTCCTTCTTCTCTTCAGTTATCGGAGCTTCTTCAGCGGTTTTCTCCGCCGCCTCCTCCTTGATCTCAACAACCTTCTCTGCTTCTTCTTCCTTCTTCTCTTCCTCCTTCGCCGGCGGGGCCGGCGGCGGAGCGGTGAACTCGTGCTTATTCAGAGCCTCCTGGATGAGCTGCTTCAGCTCCTCCAGAGCCTTCTTCTGAGCCTCGGGAAGCTCGGAGACGACGTTGGACTCCTCCTTGAACGAAACCGACTGCGCAATTTTCAGCTCGGGCTCCTCTGCGGCGGCCGGAGCAGCAGCAGCAGCAGCTTCCTCCGCCTCCTTCGGTTGCTCCTCCGCGGCAACGACCTCCTCCTTCTCCTTGGGCTCCTCGGCCTTCTTCTCCTCCACCTCCGGCTCGGGAACTGGAGCCGGCGATTCAGTCAACGGCTTCTCCGCCACCACGACCTCCTCCGTCGTCGCTGCCGGTGTGGAAGTGGCAGCCGGTGCTTGAGTCTCTTCCGCCATGGATTTGTTTGAATTGTCTTAGAGAGAGAAAATTTGGGAAAGGGAAAGGGAAAGGGAAAGAAAGGGGAGAGAGGAAGGAAGGATGGAATGAATGAATGAACAGAGTGATGAAAGGGGAAAGGAGGGTTTTTAAAAGGGAAGGAGGGGGAAAACTAATTGGGGGGGCGGGTGGGTTTATGGTAATTGTTTAGGGGGTATTTTGTAATGAATTAATTGTTTGGGGAGTAAGTTGGTATTTTGTATTCTTTTTAGTGTTTTGGGAAAGGAAAGGCGGGGTTAGGGTTAGAGAGGAACAGACTGTCAGACATATTTGCCAGCTGCTACGCCACTTCGATTAGTTTTAGTGGGACCCGTCCCACCTTCTCTCTCCTCTCTGAAAGGCATAGATTAGAGAGAGAAAGCGGGTGATTTGGTTCAGATTAGGGTTCGTTCGATATAACCGCTGGGTCTGGGTTGGTTGGCGTGTGGTCACTTTGGGTAACTCCGATCCGAGTTTGCTCTAAAACCGAAGCTATTTTTGTTTTTTATATTATTTTCCATTTTGCCAAGAATTTACCTAATCAGCCTATTTTCTGGATTATGGTTAAATTTACCTAGTTTGATTCGTCATTTACTTATTTCATTAACTAGTCCGTTTATTTTACGATCATGTGGATTTGGTAACAATAGAGGTTGTCGTTCATTTTATATATATGTTAAGACAACTAAACCATTTTTCATATAATTTGTATTGAGAAATGTCAATTATTTAATGTCGTCTCGATATATTGTTTGTTTAGAACCTAACCACGAACTTTCAGAAACTTATACGGCTTTCGACTATTAATAAAATTATTTTGAAATGTATTGAAATTTACTTACTTTTTGTGTCCTTTTCCTCATTAGTAGATAATAGTAATTATACACATCTACGAAAGTGTCATTGTGTTGTCCAAAATATTTGATGAAATCGAAGCCTCCAATCACAAAAACAAGTTAGCAAGTGTTTCCATGTTAGGTTGGTTTCTTTCAATAAATACACAATAAATTCTCTCTTTTCAATCAAGCATATGCTAAATGTCAGGCGCTAGCTATTTTGTGTGTTCCCCCTTGTTATGGGAGACCCGATCCATATGCTGTAATTGATATGCTCCCTGGTGGATGAAATAAGTACAAGAGGACACAATCCAGCTTTCAAGATAGACGAAGAGAATAGTATACACACAAATTTATATGATTCACTTATATCAGCGACGAAAGGAGCTTTTGAGTAGAAGGATTCTGGTACCCCATTTAGTAAAAAAAATGGGTATAAAACTCTTTAAGTATATGCGTTTTAGCATGATTCTATGTAGGACCCCATAATTTTGTTGATATTATCTCGCATAAAGACCCCAATTAACTCGAAATTTTTAAGGATCCCGTCCATTCAAAGCCTGACTACGCTACTGAATTATATGACGTGTCTTAACTAATTTATAAGCGGAGAAATCATATTCATTATATTTGAGAAGATACAGAAATTGAAAATTTATATATAGCAATAAAACCTTCTCTAGACGATCTAACTATAATCCAATCTGAAAAGGAAAAAAATTACAGACCATGCCCAAAACAGTAAAAAAAAATTGTGTATAATTAAGCTCATGGCCTCCGAGCCCCCATGACTTTCAATCGATGGTATATATAATATGTCTTCAAATAATATAGGCAACCGTGGAAATGGTTGAGACGTTAAAATTATACGAGTAAAATATAAAATATTCGGGAGTCGAGACTAGAGAGATGCTAGTGTATACGAGGAAAGCTCGTAAGAGCTGATTCAGGCTCACAACACTGCTAGCGACCATCAGCGAATTTTTCTCGTAACAGTAGGTTTGAGTGAGAATTGAATTCAGAAGCATATATCGCGTCCCAATCGCTCGCCCCTTATCATTGAGCCCGCCATTGATGATTGTGTCAGGGCTACAGCTTACAAGCTATATGATCAGAAAGAGATCGACAGTTGTGATATGGTTGGCTGGAAATGGAATTAGCCCTAGCTTTCCCCATCGTGCTCTTCGTGAAGCTGCAGGCAAAGTGATTTTGCTCTGTCTAGCTGTCTGGCTTATTGATGGCTTATGTTTGGGCTTTTACTCCCTGTTTCTGCCGGCGGATCCTGGAATTTAGCTTTGAGTTGGACAAAGACATGATCATTTTCTTTTTTTCTTTTCCCTGTCTTTTGATCTCAACTTGGTCCATGATTCATTCATGCCCTCGTGGGACTGCAGAGGTGGTGTTGTATTGGAAGAAATATGCGGCCTTTTGGAGTTGGGTTCTCTTGTTCATTTACGATTTGTTGTCAGGCAATAGGGTGGCTATATGGTCCGGTTAAATTGACCCAAATTGATCAGGTCCAGTACGGTTTTTTCGAAAATATAAGGACCAAAGATTGGATTGGATACAATTCGGTCTTGATCCGATCCAGTCTTGAACCAGTCCTGTCCCAATTCGGTCTTGATTTTATATTGAGCTTGTGTGGATTTGAGTGGCCTAAGACCTGAAAGGGTGAGGAGTTGGTTAAGTTTTGTACTAAGTGCAAATGTTTGTGACAGTTTATGCTAATTACTCTTAAAATTTGGGTGTTGAACTCTCTTATCCACTCTTTATCCAGTTTTTGATCCGATCCCAAACGGTTTTTTACCTCAAATCTAAGCCCAAAAATTGGATTGGATTGTTTACTATCCGGTCCGGTCTCGGTCCGGGTTATACGGTCTGGTTTTGGATAAAACCAAAAAACCCAAACCAAATAGCCAGCCCTAGCAGGTAAAACAATAGGGTAGCCCATTTGGTGATTACGAAGACTCTCTTTGTTCTTATTAGTTGTGCTTATTTTTATTTCTGCTTCTGACTCTGGGTAGGGCAATGTTGATGTAAGTCGTTTTCCTTGGTAATGCAAACAATCTTAATAAAGAAAAAAATTAATGACCTCGAACCTAAATGCGGTTAGTATTTTTATTTTAGTTTTTTGCCTTAAAAGTTTTTTTTTTTTCTCCAATAAGTTGTGGGAAATGAGGAGGGTATGAATATGGTTTTTCCTGAGTTTTAACTTTTAATCCGTTGAAAAATACTATACTTGAATCTTGTTAATTCTAAATATTATTAATCAATCATTTACATACATAGAAGGCCTGGCGGACTCGATGAACAAACTTCAAATAAAATTCATCTACGGGAGGTTGGCTTTTATATAAGAAGACTTGTAATGGTGTAATTAAAAATCATAATTAAACTTCTTCTAACAAACTATCTTGTTAAAGTGGTGAGATGAGTCTAGTCTCTTCACTTCAATATCATAAACTTAAAATATTTCTTTGCAGAACGTTGAACTTCAACTAAAAATTTAATTTTAGCAGTAAGTTAATGTGAATTCTCGACCCAAACAATGTGAAAAAGAGTTTTGGGATAATGAATTACGGCCCAAGTTAAATAATATAAATAAAAATATTAGCATGATTGACAACACACACAAATTGATAGGGCAAGCCATCCAAATCCACCCTTTTTTTTTCCTTCCTCTCCTTCACTTCCTCTCTCTTTCAAAAGGAAAACAAGTGGCTGGGGGCATCAAAACAACAATCACAATTCATAAACATAACCATGCCCCCTTCATGGGACCAAAAATTTGAGTGACAGAGGTTCCTTCAAATCCAAGGTTTGAAAATGAAATCGATTCGTTGACTCGAATTAACATATATTTGGGGTTAAAAAAATCATTTAGTCTGCCTGGTTGTAGTTTAAAGAGGAACTGAACGTAAAGAATCGGATGAGATAGTCGGTTAGTATATCGGGACCGACTCGACCAACTGGGTCTAAACCCTGTTTAATATCAAACCATATTTTGAATTTGATTTCATGGGGAAGGTGGGCACGTTAACAACGCATTCTCCATGATTGTTTGTATTGCATTGCAGGTAGGCTCCCTGAGAAAAGAGAAGAAGAGAGAGTCGTAAAAGGGCCAGATGGATATACACAATCCACCCACCTCACCCACAGCCCACAGATTTTATTCCCAGAAATTTTCCCACAGATTGTTATTAGATATATAACGAGAGAGATTCTAGCTAGCTACTATACCACTCATGCATATACACATTACATCATGCCCCACTATTTGGTGATATTGAATCATAGAGAAGCTCTCGCTGTAGCCATAAATTGAGGTAAGGCGAATCCAACGTAAAAAAAAAAAAAAAAAAAAAGCGTGATAAACTCATAATATAACTTACATTAATGTTTGACTGGTGAACTCATTATTGTTGGAAATGTATATGAATAGCTTTGAAAGCTCCGTTCCTAACAATTTTGGTACTTGAAAATCGGGGCGTAGAAAGACACTATTTAGTGGTCTCTATGTAACTCGTTAGGCTTATGTTCAGGTACAATATACAAGTGAGCAAAGGAGTTATGGATGCTCGGACTCCTGACAAGAGCAAGAGATATCAGAAAACTAAGCAGCTATAGAAAACCCAGACTTTCAATTACTATCATATTCTAAATTAGACACTGACGATTCATAGCAGTCGGAGAAATAGAATACAATGACTTAACATGCATGGCAGTGTCAAAATAGACAAGCTATTATAAGAAAACAATTTTTTCAAGAATCCAAATTTAACTATTGAGATGTTTACCCAACTCAAATAAGAAAACCAATGTGGGTAATGTCCAATCTAAATGCACACCAACTTCATCACTAGCCCTGTTTAGTGTTGTTGCCTGTTTTTGTTTCCTGTTGTGTTTTTAAAGATTGGAGAAACCAAGAAAAAAAAAAACATGTTTAGTTGGGTTTCTATTTTCTGTTGTGAATCAGAGTTGCACAACAAGGCCCAAATATGAGAAACAACAATTTATTGCTTTGGATATGATTTTAAAACATGTTGCACACGGGATTCATACTGGTTGGGCACTTGATTTCATTAAACCAGTCCAGTTTTCGAATCCCCACAGAAGCAAAAAATTTTCTTTTTTTTTTTAACACAGCCGCCACCCCCCAAACCCTACTTCTAACATATCAGCCGCCGCCCCCCAAACTATTCTCCCCCTAAACCCTTCTCAACAGAGGCGTCACCCGCCACCCTTCTCAACAAGGCGCCACCTCCGCCTCACCACTGCCGAGCCGCCCGCCACCTCCTAAGTCGCCGACCCCTCTGCCTCCGCGCCCGACCCCTCCACCTCCGCGCCGATCCAGCCCGCCGCGCAGCCCGAACCCTCCGCCGGCGACGTCCTCTTGCCGACCCCTCTGCCTCCGCGCCCGACCTCTCCGCCTCCGTGCGGACCCAGCCCGCCGCGCAGCCCCACCCCTCTGCCGCGCAGCCAACCCAGCCCGCCGACCCGCGTTTTTGTAGTAACTAAACGCGTTTTTGTTTCTTGTTTTCAGCTTTCATGATTTTTCAGATTTATCAACTAAACAGGTTTGTATTTTCTGTTTTTTTCCTGTTGTAGTTGTACATTTGTTTACACAACACCAATCTACAACCACAACAACAACAAATGATAACGGGCCTAAAAGTTGTTTGTTATAATAACATGACACCTCATATATAGTTAGCTGATGCTTCCATGAATCATTAGCGTCGTTTAGTGATTAATATTAGAGACGAATCAACGGAGCTGCTTAATTTTAATACATCAACCAAATTGCTTAGTTAATTAGAAGGATAAAGGAAGAGATTATTAATGATTTGAAAGGGACGGATGGGTAATTTGACATTAATTACGTGCACCGTATCTGCGGAGGAAATGCCGGCCTCCATCTCCGTGGCCGGCTGGCTAACAGATAGAAAGAAAGAAAGAAAAAATGGCATTACGAAGTGAGAACTCACAACTATGGGCCCCCACCACTCCAACCAGACTCCCTCCCAAAAGCCCAACCAAGTCCACTCTGGTTTCTCCCTGGCATTTCCTCCCTCAAATTGGTTTTAGTGTTTATTCAATGCAAACTTGCTTGCCAAAGGGACAAAAAAATATTTATAAAAAATATTTTCACTACTTCATAACATTAATCTTGTAGGATCTAGAAACTCTCATATAGTCATACATGATTCACTGGAGGGTTTTAGGCAGTGTTATTAAAACCGAGCCGCTCGGCCCGACCGGTAAAATCGTCACCCGGTCACAAAATCGGCTCGGAACAATCTAAAAGCCGCTCCGGTTTTATGTAGTGGTTGGCGAGCGGCCGAGGCGGTTAGCCGTTCGAGCCGATCGAGCCGCTCGTCCGGTTTTTGCCATTCAGCCACTAAATTTAATTAAAAAAATTTTAGAAAATTGAAAATTGAAATAAACCAAAAACGTCGGGCTCTCAAATTGAATCCTTATTTCCATTTCACAATTTTGAAGGAAAGAGATGAGTTTTGATTAAGAAATGTCCACTATTTATACTGATGCGTTTATTATGTACCGGTTCTCTAACGGTTTTTAAACGGTCTAATGCTGGTTGGACCACTAAAGTGCGAGCCGTTCGCATTACCGGGTCATGCTCCGGTTCGATTCTGACAACATTGGTTTTAGGAACACAAAATATGGACCTCTAATAACCGAAGCAAGCTAGGCGCACCTTTGAGTTCACGGGGTGAGGTGATGAGCTTGTTCCCGAGTAATTAGCTAAAGAGGGCAATCAAGCAAGCGATTGTAGGTATTATAAGTCTACTCTCGAGGAACCTTGTTCTCCGGTCCATCGCACGGATGTGGTTTTCCACGACGGCAGGGTTCGCGTTCGCCAGGAGCCGGTGTCTCAAAATAAGGGTAATTACGAGTCTCCAGCGTTGGCGCAGTTTGTTTTCTACGTGCTCTATGTCCCTACCTTGACTGCGACCCCAAAGGGAAGGAATAGATCTTCGTATTGTTAATCTCATGCCATCGCTCGGCTGCCGAGTCGATGGTATGGAGGAACCATATGAGTTAACTACGACTCAATTTGTGATACCGGTCTCCACTCCATATGCGGAGGCAGGGGCATTAGCCCTTGTCACGAGACAGGGGCAAATTTCGGAGTGGAAAAAAAATACTCATATATATTTATATTGATGATGGAACAAACAATTAAAGGTGGTGTTAGAGTATTTTATCAGTACAACACAACTCATTAGTTGTTTATAAATTGACATAAAATTAATTTAAAATACTATAAACGAACTTTTAATTGCGATAAAGACCTAATCAAATCTTTTTTCTCCTTATGTCTATTCGTTTTTCTCCAACAATCCTGAAATTTTTCAGCGGCAGCAGCAATTCCACTAGTTTTGATTCTACCAATTTGCAACTGCAAGTGCAGGAAGAACATTTTCAGCTTTGAGTTAAATTAAGAACAAGTTTCGAAGTCGAATTGGCGACCAGTTTGCTAATGATTGTTTAGTGTGATACATTAAAAGAAACTTACTTAATAGTGTAGACAACAAATGTTTGTGTTTCTTTTGCAATATGAAATTTCGTCGTGGTTGCTTATGAAAATAATAATTTTATTAGTCAATTATTTTTTATATGTGAATGAATTATTTGGATATAATTAGTTTAATTTTATTTATTAATTAAATAGTTATATATTTATATTATGAAAACAAGACAAGGGTAGTTTCAAACCCTGACTCCGCTACGACACCACTCCACATCACAATCCCCCAGTTCTACCTTTCTTGCAGAGGTGATAGTGTCGATTGAGATTCTAATCCAAACAAGCCTCTAATAACATTAAACAAGATGTTATTTCTAATTCTGAACTTGGCATGTTTGTTTGCTTGCTTCGAGAAGCAACGAAAAGCTGTTGGATGGCATTTCTTTGCTGTCTTTTTTCAGTTTTTTTTTTAGTGAAATATTCCTTTCCCGTTTTTATCATTTTAAATATCTTAAGTCTTAACAAAGAGATCAATAATCCTTTTTTCTTTCCATTGACAGAAATCATGATTAGCTTTTGTGCTGGGCCTGGGACCAGAGGCCTTCTCGAACAGAATATGTTTGGTAGGAGAATCTTAGCGCATGATGGTTGTAACGTTAGGTTGGTTGGTGACTTTCTGATCAGCCCTATTTGATGTGTTCTTCAGAAGAGGAATGATAAAAACCAAGGAGAGTCCATAATTGATAGCTCCTTTGATAATTAGTCTACTCATTTTCAGAATATATGTTGTTTTAGTATTACCAATTTATTGGTATTGTTAATGATTTGATCAATATTCAAAAACGAACTAGGCGATGGGCAGGTGTTGGGGTCCTACCTAATGTCTGGCATGTCTAAGCGGTTCTTGGACGTTTTAGTGAAAATAACAATTTTCAATAGTAATGCCATTTTTATATCACATTTTTTTCTCGAGTTCAATTTTAAATGATTAATAACTTAGCTAACCCTCAACAACAAACTTGTCATGATTTTTAGAATCACTAGTTTATAGAAAGTCGTGGGGTGTGAATGATCTGTAATGGTGAAGAGCATGGCAAATGGTCGATTCAAATATAAGGTAGCTGGAGATGGCATCATTTTGGAAAGATCAGCTTCAAATTATTTCAATAATTGTTCTGTCAGCACGTTTAATTGTTCTGTCAATTAATCATGTCTAGCTTTACCTCACCATTAAGAACACCTAATTGTGACCAAAATCCTAAACGAGGCGTTTTGTCACTGCCTAATACCTAAACGGACACAGGACTATGCCCTCTTAAACCCTGATTTTGACCTATAATGATTCAACGAATAGTACGAGACTCAATCTCATAGATTCTTACAAATCAAACATCATCTTATGACATTACATGAATTCTTACAAATTCAACCTATAAAATACACGAATTCTTAAAAATTCCTATATACCCTACCTTACGTGCTGACCGAACGAACCTTAAGCAACAGTCCCAACTCCAAAGTATACATACAATTACAGAGGTAAATTGACCCTAAATCACAAGAAAGCATGGAGTAATTGTTACACAGAAGATCCCTTGTTATACACGTAAGACTTGGCAAACCACAGGTACAGGACCAACTGAACCGCACTCATCCCAGCAAGCAGCCAGTAGAAGTAATCGAGATGCCCCCGGTTTATGTTATTGGCAAACCAGCTATCCCCACCACCATCTGCACCTGTCGTTGCTCGATCGATCGCCGATATCATGAAGCTACTGAGAAAGCTCCCAACCCCGAATATACTAAGGTATAGGGACAACCCCATGCTACGCAAGTCGCTCGGGACCTGATCGTAGAAGAACTCCTGCAACCCAACCATGGTGAAGACGTCCGAGACTCCGAACAGGACGTACTGAGGAATGAGCCACCAGAAGCTCATGGGGACCGTGACTTCTGGACGGTCAACGATTCCATGGTCGATGGCTGTCTGGAGTCGCTTGATCTCGACCAGTGCTGCTATGGCCATGGAGAGGAAGGAGAGGAAGATTCCGGTTCCGATTCTCTGGAGCATGGAGATTCCGGAGGGCTTACCGGTGATGATCCTGAACAGAGGGACGAGGAGGCGGTCGTAGATTGGGATGAGGATGAGGATGGAGAGGGTTATGAATGATTGCAGGGAAGCTGGTGGGATTTGGAAGCCTGGGAAGAGTGTTCTGTCCAGGGTTAGGCCTTGCTTGGTGAAGAAGGTTGTGGATTGAGCGAATACGATGCCATATACTAAGCATGTTGACCATATCGGGATGAGTCGAAGGACCGACTTGGCTTCTTCGAGCTCGTTGAGGGTGCAGAGTTTCCCGCCGGTTTTGGTATCTGCTGGGGCTAGCAGAGCCTTGTTGAGAAACCTGGGTCACACAAAAGACCCGAGTTAAGTTGTTTGCTGTATGATTGGTATAGTGGATCAAACTGGTTAGACTAATAGGTAAAGGTATGATAATAAAATTGTTTATGGAGTATAGTAAAGTAGTCGATACAGAATAGTATTGAAAAGCACTGCTCATCCTATAAACATTAAACAGCAGAACGCATCAGTTCATCCAAGAACAAAACGGAGGCTGCATTCCCTTACCTGAATTCCTCAGAGTGTTCGTGTGGCAGACTCCCTCTCGCTTCCTCCTCAAGAGCAACAGCAGAAGAATCAGCTCTCCAGTTCCTTAACGCAGCACCAAACACCTTCCCAATTCTCAGAAATGGATTCTCATCATCCCTCTTGGCGCTATACCTATACGTCCTCGTCCCAAGCAGGAAGATCACAAGTGCTGCAACCATCACGAGACATGGGATTCCAAATCCGAGCCCCCAGTTGACGTTGTCCTGTACGTAATTCAGCACCGCTATAGCTACAAAGGTCCCAGAACACATGCAGAAGTACCACCAGTTGAAGAAGGAGCTCTTGGCTTTGCATTCTGCAGGGTCTTGCCCGTCGAACTGGTCCGCACCAAATGCTTGTACGCAAGGCTTGTGGCCTCCTTGTGAGAGTGCTACTAGGTACAGGGAGAAGAAGAAGAGGACTATCTGGATTAAACTGGAAGACACACCAAGGGCGGGAAGAACGGCTGATAGAGTCAGCAACCCGAGTCCCTGTTCAATTTGATTCCAACATTTGGGTTATGAAGATTCTCATTAAAGTCTAATGTAATGAAACAAATGTAAAGAGATCATTGTGTCTGCCAGATAGTACTACTAAATTTGCTGATCCCGGGAAGCTTTCATATTAAACTGAATCCTATTCGAATTAAAAAACCAAACAAAGCACCCAACTTTAAGAAAAGTCGATCCAATAAGCCTAAAAACTTTAGTTAAAGCCATGGGTGCTTGCCCACTACTATATTTAGCAAGGAAGATGGAATTACCAGAACGTAGCCAATGGAAGCAACAATTATGGTGCGGTACTTCCCGAGGAAGGTATCGGCGACGAAGGCGCCGAGGAGAGGCAACAGCGACGCGGCTCCGGACCAAGCGTTGACGTTCGCCGCCGCGACGGCCGTTGACTGGCCGAGTGGCCCCGTCAAGTAAGTGATGAGGTTGGATCCGATCCCGTAATAGGCAAACCTCTCAGCAACTTCCACACCTAACAAGAAATGAGGAAAGTTCATCTATCAGTCAACAGAAGTGGACGAGCTTCCGATTGGATTTCCAGGGGTAAAGGAGGAGGCTTACCGATGATAAAAGCGGCGGATCTCCAACTGCCGGAGCTTGAGCGGTGGACGGGGCGGCCTTTGTAGTCGACGGCACCATCAACGGTGTCGTCGTAGAGAAGTGGAGTTTCTGCGTCGGTGAATCCACGAACGGCGGCGGAGGTGGACATGGTGGCTGGATCGCGGTGGCAGAGACACCGCGGGGATGGCTTTTTTCTTTCCACCTCGAATTCGGTGGCTGGCGGGAGACGTCAAAGCTGGAGAGCATTTTTAGTTGACTGATAATGCTTAGCAGCAATTAGCCGAATCTCGACCGTCCATCTTCGGTGGGACCGAAGTGATGGACGATTGGTATTCGTTTCAGAGATTTCATGTGGGAGGGAGTAGGTGGAATAATTAAGGCCGCCCGCAACAGGGCTGTCACGTTTTCACTCTGCCTTAATGTGGCTATTAAATTCGTGATTAAGCCCTTAATATACTCTTTTTAATGCAAATGAGAGTTTTCATTAGTCATTATTACTTCGTTAGTATTTGGAGGTATGCTTATGGATGCAACTTTGCTTTGACTGAATGACTCACTATTAGTAATATACTCTTCGATTGAGTAATTACCGTTTTGACCTGTACAGAAAGGAAGCAAATATGAGTTGGAAGGAAGTATTTCTTTTACCAGTTTCGACATGTTTTTACTTTTTACAGCTTACGACATTCCGAGAGATTGAATGGCGAGCTTTGCTGCGACCATCGAAATGTTCTGGCTAATTAGCTTCAGCGAACCGTCCAGCCTTTTCAGCGTGTCTCTCATGTCCATTGCTCGTAACTTCTCTTGCTGCAGGTTGTATAGTTCTGATTGTGAAGAGCCTGTCGAAAGAACACACACAACGTTCATCAACCTTGGATTCTTTTTAGACGGTCAAGCTGCACCATACTGAGAAGGAATGTAGAGAAGGGATTTGAAGGAGGCAGTTTGCCTGAAATTGGTTGCAATGCGGCGAAGGAAATGCGTTCTGCAAGAGATGGGACGAAAGCTTCATCACAATCTAGTTCGAGTTCCTTTTCGGCCCACCAAAGTGCGTTGGCCAGTCGCGTCTGCAACAATTCGTCCTTGCGAGGCTATAAACAAGTAGCACCAGTAAGTGGAAGCACAGTAGAACAAGTAAGAGGAAGAGCTGAGATAAGCCGAAATACGAACATAAGCCAAGAAGGTTTGCTATGAACAAAGCTTTGTGAAAAAAACTATGCTGTGTTCTGAGGAAATGATTCATGACTCATGACTATGTCTAGGATGAAGATCAATCAAGCTCAGTAGTCTCTCCCCTTACTTCTATATAGCTATCATATACAGAAACCACCAACTATCTCTTTGCTCGTTTCCAGAGAAGGATAACGAAGCAGGTGAGAAGCATTTGACAGTATGCCATTCAAGAGATTCGAGATCATCTTGTGTCTAGTCTCAAGTTCTTCCAGGTTTTAGAAAAAAAAACATTCTATGCTTAGGCACACAAGGTAATGCATAACAGGATATAAATATATACCTTCAGTTTGATTTCTAGGCTATTTAAATTGCCAAGAGCTTCTTTCACTTGTGTAACTTTTGAACTGATCTCATTAGCACTGTCGACACCGATGTCCTGTACTGGCTTCACTTCACCTCTCAAGTAAGGCTCCGACTGCATTTGAATTTCAAAGGGAACAGTAATTTCATTAGAATTAAACAGGACATTTCTTAGCTGGGTTTCTTCATCTATGATTAACACTCAAAACTACCAGCAAAATGAAAAGAAAGAGATGGGGAGAATGCAGATTCCACGTATACTAACTAGATACATGACCTTCCTACACTATTTTGAAGTAAATGATGTTGCGCTATAAGAATTTTAATACAATAGCATAAGCTACAGCACCTGCAAGAAACCAGCAAGCTTGACACGCCCAATTCCTCGAACAGACACCAATGCTCCGACATCTAGACGCTCAACCTGCAGATTACGTAGACATAAACTCTAGTTGAAGATATGATCAAATTTCCAACTATAATGGTTTTGATGCCAAGTATTTGGGAAGCTTACACTCTCTATATTGACCAGGCAGCCATATCTAGCAGCAAAGGAAGCTTCACCTCCTGAATCGCTGATCGAGATTGGATCCAACACAAAATGCACAAACATCTTCTTCTGCACCAAAGCCTATTCCACAGCCAATAAACCAATAGCTGATTCAATTCCAAAGAGAACATCGACAGAGTTCCAGCCATACAAGAACAACTACGATACTAAAAATTGGTACAATTAGCTTAATGACAGAATCGAACGAACACAGTGAAATTCGACTACCTCTTCTAGCAAAGCCAGATACCTAGCTTCATAGAGATGCAGAGTCTTGCTCTCTGAAGGAACTAAAACCTGATTCACCGCATAAACAAACAATTGAGCAATCAACTGAAAATCGAAGAGACTCGATTTCAGGCCAAAAGCCTAAAAATGCGAAAGCGGACCTCGTTCGAGTTGAAAGGAAGGAGCGGGAGCTCGAGGGAGCTGAACTTCAGCGACGATCGACATCGCCATTTCGGCGTTCTTTGGCGGCGAAGATATGTTCGCTGAAAATCGAACGGCCGAAACGAGTAGTGGCGGGAAGAGTACATTACGGTCGAGTCGCTGCTCCGGCAACCACAACGTTGAGTCGGTTGGGCAGAGAAATGGAGCGGTCGCCGGCGACGAATTCGTGGCTCAATGAAGCCGGAGAGGCTGGATGGATTAACGGAGCTCGCTCCATATCCCATGGAGTTCGGATTTTACAGAGAGAAATCTTTTGGCTCCTGAATTATCCTGTAAATGTCTACGTGTCAGTACTGAAGTACAAGAAGCAGAAAGGATTACTTCTAGCTGCTAAAATTGTACCGGTTTACCAATTTAGTCTCTAATTTTAGAATGTTATCCTTTTGTACTGGATTCTCTACACTAACTAGGGCCCAACCCAACACAAATTGGGCCAAAAAGTGATCTCAGTAGGCCCAAATAGGCAAATACGGCTCCACGCCCGACCGTGAGAAAGAAGCAGAGGACGGAACGGAACCTCATCGAACTAACCAGAGAAAAGGGAAGGACGGAGAAGAAGAAGAAGAAGAACAGGACGAATACTGAAAGCGAAGAACGAAAGGCAGAAGAAATCCGAACAGAGTAGCGCAGTTAGCAATCGAATATGGCGGAGGCCGTTGACGTGAACGCGAAATGGGACGCTTGTATCGATCTGACCGTTCGCCGCTTCGTTTACTCGTCCATGGCTGGTGCCTTCGGCGGTCTCCTCTTTTTCAGTTAGTTTTCCTTCTTCTTCTTCTCATCTCTCCCCCATTTATCCGTTTACCAATAGATGTTTAAACGCCAACTATACAACCTTATTTTAATTAGCTCGGAAGGTCTGAAAATGGTGGAACGGGCCGAATAGTCCCGTACTTGGTTGCACTCTTCGGATTAGGTTTTTTCTTCTGGTGGGTGGTGAAATTTTGTTTCTACTTGTTGCTTGGCTAAAATTCCTTTCGGTTTAAGGAAATTACCAGTTCTGCCTTGTCTTTGTTGGTTTCCCATGAAGGATTGATTGAATGAATGTGGAAAGCCTTGATTTTTAGAATGGATGAGCGAGAGAATGTAAAGATGCAGTTATGCTGGTTGTGTAAGGTGTAAGAAGATGCACACACAATCACGATCCTTATGCGCTGTATATCTGTGGCTTGCATGAGCTAGATTTATGCTTGTTTTTAATAAATTGAATGCTGGGGGGATGTTCTAATAATAATGAGTTGATGATGTGATCTTCCGTTTCAAAATAGGGACACCAGTGACTCGCTGGGCTGCTGTAGCATTTGGTGCAGGAGTGGGCGCTGGAGCCGCGTACACTGAGTGCTCTCGTATTTTTGAAGGGTCTCCTGCAACATCACCAGCTCTTAAGGTGGCGAGTGCTCCAACTCCTCAGGTGAGATGGAGTGATTGTTTATTTGTTGCTCTAATACATGCATTCCGGAAGTTACATGGGATTTCGTGCAATATGAATCTGTATGAGTAGATTTTCTCCTCCACTGGAATTAAGTTTGGTACCAAAAACCATAATTTTGATACTGTAGACCGAAATCACTTCATTCTCAAGGTAAACTCGAAGTGCTTAAGTTAGTAGATAATAAGCAAAGAGGACAAAAGGAACCATTGAATTTAACATTTCATCATGATGAGGCAAAGCATGTGTAGCAAAAAGGAGTGTTGCCACATCAATAGTCTGGAAGGTTGTCTTGATTCTGATTCCCGGGCATTAAATCGTGGTATGGACCTCACAGAGAATGTCACTGGTAGCTGGTTATGGTATTCTTCCTTTTGGAGTTCTACGAACTTAAATTATCCGGCTATGTAGCTAAGATATCCCGTTAGCAGGTTACAATGCCGCGGAGAGCCTGAATGATTGATAACGTACTGATATATAGATGACCAAGTTGACTTTTGGCTGTTTTGTTGAGCTGTAGACTCTTTGATTTACTTAGTTGTGTCACTTAGTTAAGTTGGCCAAGTGACAAAGGAAACAAAGAGCTTCTTCTTTTTTTTTTTTTTTTGTAAGAACAGTGTGATGCCAATCACCAGCAATGAAAGATCTGACATTCTATTATGCCGACTTTCTGATATTATACTCATGTGTATTTTTCTTGCTCTCCATATGTTTTGAGTTGTTAGCTTACCAGTTACCGTTTAAGGTCTACTGATACCTGCCTTGGTAAGATAGGATTAGGATTTAGGACAGTCAAAAGGAGCTCGAATGTCCATATCGAACTTACTATGCTTGTGTCTTTGATTTCCCCTACTAAGTTCCCACCTGTAGAACATGTGACTACTATATGATAACTCTAGTATTTCATTGTCAAACGAATGCTGCTCTCCGTGCTTTTTCTCTTCTTATACACGGGTGCTTCCCCCAAAGTTCGTTCAGCTGATGAATCTAACGCCCCTTTGTCTCTGCTTGCGTGAACCTACTCTCTGCAGGAGGCACAGGACTGAAACCTTGACTGAGACTGAGAGACTTATGGATATAATACAATGATGATGATCAATTGAAGAACCCGATGAGGATTTATTTTATTTTTTCACTTTGAGAAAATTTTTAAGGATTGAGAACGGTTGTTGCTCCAGCTGCTTCTGCTGCTACGCAACTGCTTAGTACAAAATGTTGCTACATTCCTCTTGGTTGATCACATTAACAATCTAGCCTGACATTTTTACTGTTTGTATTTGGCATTTGACGGTAAAAGTCCTCTTTTTTGTCATGTGGATTCGGTTTGGGCACCATGGAAGTGTAGGGCGCTTACATGGTTGATATCTAGCAATATCTTGCAGCCAATATAAAGCATGGAAAAACAATTTTCGCCAACTGGCTCGTTCGAAAATTACCTGGGATTATTTTGACAGATGATGATTTTTGTTTTGACAGACAATAGAAACAGATGGAGTTCGTGGTTCATTTCAGGGGATATGTAATGAAGTGGTTAAATTTGTACATAAAATTATTTCAACAATTCGAGTTATTGGAATCAATTGATGCTTGATTTCTTATCGAACCAACTTTTCCACTGCCAAATGGATGATTTGTTCCAGTGGAAGTTTTTTTTTTTTTTTTTTTACTCTGAAAAGCTTTTAATCGAGTTGACTTTCATATCTCCACACAGCACCAACTCCATATCCACACTCTTATCCTATCCCCACATTCACTGACCAGTATCCCGGTTTTGACTTTTGGGAGATGGATTCATCAATGTTTTGGCTGTAACATATTTCTTTCTGAATTCCTAGGCACCACACTCTGACCAGTGGAACCCGGCAGGCGCAAAAGGGAGGATATATAAATATGAGAGTCCATTCAATGACCCCCCTTTGACTCTTTGCTCCTATTTATTTTAATTAATTAACAGACACGCAAACCCACCTTTGACCATACTAGATTGGCTAAACTTGTCACAGAAATTATACATGCATCCTCATCATCGATTTATCTTAATAACGTTAATACAGGTTCGATCGAGTGGTTGTGATGCCAGATTTTGAAATCAGAGGTTACGTTGATATGATTTGAATCGGATTATCTGTCGTCGACTGAAAAGCCACGAGAGCAATATTCTCCACGATGATCATGGGCTTGTACATATTTAGATTTGTGTTTCTGGTCCGGTTTGTAACCTTAGGGTTACTCCGTTAAAAACATACTATATTTACTTCTCATACTTTTTTTTTATTTGTAATCTTCTCTAATATAATGAAGCTAACTCTCTCATCGATGAACAGAGTTTACACAGATCTCGCTCCATATTTAGTACGAGCTGCTGGTGGGGGGTTTCTCTCTTTCTTCCTCCCCCTTCACCTCTCATGGATTCACAGTGGCTGCACGTGAAAAGAGAGAAAACGCTCCATCCCTCCTCCTTGAAAAGGGAAAACCAGCCCCCAGCCACTGCAATTGGAGCAATAGCCTGCTCCAAGGTCATCCACCCATCAATAAATGACACTTCTTCATAAACAATGTCACTAGCTAGCTAGCTAGTTTTCTTTCCTTTTGAATGAAACAAGAGCATGAAGAATTGAAGATACACGGTTCATTCAATAAGAGATAGCAATGATCTTATCTGCAACTATCGAAACCACACTATTAACATTCGAGCCAAATTGATCCGGATCGCTGGTTCATTTGATATATAGCTTTCATATCGAAGGGAATACTTTGCTTTTTAGTTCCAACCTCGAACCATGATCAAATTACTTGATTGAATCAACTTCAAATACAATTTCATCCGATTTAGATCCTCCTCTCTCTCACACACAATATTGATATGTTTCCATCAATTTTCTATGTTGTCAGGACTTAAGAAAAAACAATTTATTTGTCGTCAACGTCAACGATAAGTCATTAGTTCTCATTGAATAATGAACCCGGTTTTTCATACTCGTGAATTAGCTAACACAAAACATGTGTTTTTTTTTTTTTTACTTTCTCGCATTATCCAATTACGATTCCATCCCAACCGCACTCTATCATCTATGGACCTCCCAACCCCAATTTGAAAGACCTAGCTACTAGCAAAAGTGAATAAAGAAAGAACATATACGATCGACCCAGAAAATAAGGCAGGTAGAGAAATGGGAAATCCACAGCAATTACTGCAAAAGGGAGGTAACAGCTGAATGCATTAACTTCTTCTCACCCTAACCACCCACATTCAATATTTCACCTCAACACTACTCAATCTTAGTGGTGCAATTTCGGTTATTTCGGTTATAACCGATGACCAATCGGCCTGTTATCGGTTAACCGAAATAACCACCCCTACCGAAAACCGATCGAAATAGGCTTCGTTATCTCGGTTATCGGGACCACTTTTAAGACCAAAAACCATTTCGTCTAGCCTCCGATAACCGACCGAAGTCAATTACTTCGGATACTGATTAGTGGATAATCGGCCGATTATCAATTGAACCGGCCGGTTAACCGGTAACCGAACTGCCACCTCTACTCAATCTTGCATTATAAAGTCACGTCTCTTTCCCCACTTCCTCCTCTTATCACACCAACCCTTTCTTCTACCTACAATGGCTTTGACCATCACAACCACCAACCTCTTGGTCGCGGTCATCGTTTCGGTACTACTAGCGTTTTCCCAAGTGGGTCTCGCTCAGTTCTTCAACGGCACCGTCGGCGGCGGCGAGGGAGGCGACGACGGGGACGCCGGGGAAGTGTCTGCCGGCGGCGGGGGGAGCGGTAGTAGTACTAGTACTACTCCGACCAAGGAAGCGTTGGTCCCAGCGTTGTTCATATTCGGCGACTCGCTGATCGACAACGGCAACAACAACAACCTGGCTTCTCTAGCCAAGGCCAACTACCTGCCGTACGGCATCGACTTCAACGGTGGCCCCACCGGCCGGTTCTCCAACGGCTACACCATGGTCGACGAGATCGGTAATTAAACCATTGTTGTTGTTACTGAGTTTTTTTTTTTCTTGATATGTGGTGAAAACTGACTCGTTGGAAAAAAAAAATGCATGCATGCAGCGGAGCAGCTAGGGCTTCCGTTGATTCCGCCGTACACCGAGGCGAACAACGGCGGCGACGTGACTAGGGGTGTCAACTACGCCTCTGCTGCCGCCGGGATCCTCGACGACACCGGCAGAAACTTCGTAAGATTCTTACTTTTTAGTTTCAGACTAGAGATATAAAGTTTTAACGATACGAAACAGTTTGAACCAAAATTTTAGTACAAAATATTCTCTTTTACCGCGACTAAACTTGTATCATTTTATGGTGAATTCTGTTGATATGAAGGTAAATTTTACATTTAGATTATTACATAGGGTAAATAGATGGGGGGGCTACAATGGTTAGATATGTTTTGTAATTAAATGATTGGGATATTGACCCTTCTGAAATAGCTTCAATAAATTACACATTTATTAAATGATGTCAGGAGATGTTGTTACAACCAATTAATTGCTTCCCATAATGGTACAATAATAACAGATTCCTCACTCTATGCATGCAAAAATTCCGATTTGGTCCCTAGTTTGTGCTTTTTTGACTTTCGAGTTTTCCGGGTGGGTCGGATCCATGCAGGTGGGTCGGATCCCATTCGACCAACAAATCGAAAACTTCCAGAACACGCTGGACCAGCTGACCAGCAAGGTCGGCGCCGTCGATGCCGCGCAGGGCGTCGGCCGGAGCATATTCTTCGTCGGAATGGGCAGCAACGACTACTTGAACAATTATCTCATGCCCAATTACCCGACCCGCGGGCAGTACAACGGGCAGCAGTATGCCGATCTCTTGGTCCAGCAGTATACCCGCCAGCTCAATGTAAATTTACCTCCTTACCCCTCTCCAGCTTCAGATTCACCTAGTAGGTAAAAGTAAAACTGTAATTTTTCGTTTTTTTACTGCAGACGCTTTACAATCTTGGAGCGAGAAAGTTTGTGATAGCTGGGCTGGGAGTGATGGGCTGCATCCCGAGCATCCTGGCCCAAAGCCCAGCCGGGCTCTGCTCCGAGGAAGTCAACAAGCTGGTCACTCCCTTCAACCAGAACGTGAAGGCAATGATCAACAACTTCAACGCCAATCTCCCCGGCGCCAGGTTCACTTACATCGACATTGCCAAGATGTTCCGCGAGGTCCTCACCAACTCCGAACGATACGGTACGACGACGTATCTCTTGCAGCCCGTTTCGTCGTAGTAAGGAAGTGGTTTTCGAGACGTGACATTGCTTTCGAGTTCGCTGCATTTGATGACGAAGAGTAGTATCTGCATGATGCAGGGTTTAGCGTGGTGAACAGAGGGTGCTGCGGGATAGGGAGGAATGCAGGGCAGATAACGTGCTTGCCGTTCCAGACGCCTTGCGACGAACGTGGGCAGTACATATTCTGGGATGCGTTTCATCCGACGGAGGCTGTGAATGTGCTGATGGGGAGGAAGGCTTTCAATGGCGATACCACTTACGTTTATCCTATCAACATCGAGCAGCTTGCCCGCATTGGATGAACAGTTCCGAAAAACAATTGAGGCTTTGGTTACAGTCAAGTAGTGTTTCTTTGTTTCTGTTCCCATCCTCCCAAAACTATAGTTTATGCAATGTGAAGAAAAAGTTTCTTTTGTTGTGTGTGTTGTTGTTGTTGTTGGGTCTGGCCATGGTGAAATGAGACGTAAGACGGTTTGGTTGCTTGTTACTGTTTATTGATACTTGTTCAACCTGTCTTCTGGAGGTTCTGAATGGAGAGGGTTAGAAAGAAGGCTGGCTAACCGGTTATTCGACAACATGAAGCACCTAAATTGTCATTGTTACTGATTCACTGGATTAAGAACAAGCTCACACCAATTGCCATCTTTCAAAAGGGATCACAGTGGATAGTAAACTGTCAAGTGCAATGATGACACAGTGTACTATAGAGATCAAAACTTGTTGGTGTACACTGGTTTCCATGTCCGGTTTTCTGCTTCTGAGAATCTGATCTCAGTCGAGGAAACCACGACGCACCAAGTTGGCTTATTACATCCCTCTCACGGGTCATTTTTCAGGCTGAAAGGCGATGAAATGCAAATGATAACTGCACAGGTTCAACTCTCTGGGCTACAGATGAATCATCGTTAGTGCATACCTGGGCGAACCCCCCTGTGATGCTTTAGAGATAATTGGAAAGCATTCATCAGTCGTATGCGTCCGTTAGTTCACACACTCGATGCCAGTCAAAGGATCCCCTGCATGGAGTTGAAGGGCAACATCTCCGACAACCTGGAGTTGACTTAAACATCAATAAATCTGATAGGGTTGCTAACAAGTAGCCTATGAGTCTATAAGCCAACTCTGAATTTCATACCTTAGCCATGGATCTGTACGAGTGTTCTGTAACCCCTGCTACATGAGGAGTGATGATGACATTGTTGAGCTTTAGAATCGGATCATTAGGATCAAACGGCTCGGTCCATGCCACATCAATGCCCAAGCCACCCAAGTGTCCCGACTTAAGGTGGTCGAAAACAGCTGAGTAATCTAGTAAGCCTCCTCGAGCAATGTTTAGCAAAAGGGAACCCTTTCTCATTGAAGATAAGAATGAATTGTTGACTATACCTACCTGAAGATTAAAAATTACCCAAACCAATAAGGATTATAAGATGCAGCAGGAACTGAAAGATATGAGGGAAAATGACGGTGAAGGCCAAGGACAGAAGGGAGAAGATCTTACTGTCTCTTTGTTCATACATAAGCAGCAAACAACTATGTCCGCCTTGCCAGCGAACTCGTGAATTTCTTCATGACTACCCTTCTCGTCAACCAAATCATGAACAATGCCACCTTGAGGTGGTGCACATATTTAAGGAAAATGTCAAAATGAAGTAACATCCCATACAACTTCTCCATGCAATTTAAAGCAATATATTACCATTGGAATGCAGGGCCCAACTCCTCTTTGTGGCAATAATTCTCACACCAAATGGCTTCAATCGCTTAGCCAACTCAATCCCTATATTTCCATATCCCAAAATGAATACCTTCAGAAGGGAAACCGGAAAGTATGAGAGGCGGAACAACCAACCATCGGCATTTTCAACTATTTCTCATTTTGTGGCACATTTCGAGAACCCTACAGTTCAGAGGCTGGCAAGGACAGAACCACTCACCGTTTTGCCAAATAAAGTGTCACCAATTGGTTCTCCAAGCTTTTTTTGCTGCACTGCAGTTTCAAGCTCATGCTGCAAATAACAAGCATAGTCTCATGTTATCAGAGGAAGCCATAATAAGCAGAGTCCGATGATATCAGAATACCCACAGTAAGGATCAAAATGCAGAAAGAATCCATGGAGTTATCAGCTTCACACGTCTCATAACAGTAAACCGAAAACCAACCTGCTTACGCAGAAGACCCAACATCAGATATATACTCATCTCTGCACAAGATGTCGCATTTCCAGTCACATCACTGGGGATTCTAGCTACCTTGATCCCACATTTTGTAGCAGCATCAATGTCCACACCTTCATTGAACAAAATTCCAAAATTTCAACAGCTAAAACGAATGCAATGAAGGTAGACACTTATTCACAAAACCACATAGAAAAAACAACTCTTTTCTCACCTTCAAGCCCCACACCATACTGCATTACCAGCTTCATCCGATTCGCCCGCGACAGGACATTTGAATCCAGCCGCATGTTTTTCACCACGCAGAGGTGGTAATTAGCTATGACATCGGGCACTTCACTAAGAGGAACATCATCAACCTACAATGGAAAAACTTGGCAGAGAAACGCAAAATTACAGACTCCAATTGGAAGTTGCAGTGAACTTTCGTGATTTAAAATGGCACAGTGAGTGACAGAGTACCTGAATGAAAGGGTACTTAGCCAAGTACTCTCTGGTGTAGTTATGAGAAGCAGGAAAATGAGGCCCGCAAAACAGAACCCGAGTCACTTGGCTTTTCTCACTTTCGCCGACCATTTTGCTCTCCTCCTTCGGCAGCGTATCTGAAACCATGATCGAAGAACATAGATTAACGAAGGCCTCATTTCAGGGGGGGGAAATCAAACGAGAAAATCGCTAGCTAGGCATCAGTTCAATCGATAACTAAAGAGAAGATTCGAACGGGAAGAGGGGGGGAACCGACCTGAGAAGTTACGGAGGAGGAATCGGCGGCGGGAAGAGGCGGCGACGGCGACGGCGGAGACGGTACGGGTTGAATTGAGGAAGGCTCTTCGGAGATGCTGGCAGTACATATGGATTTTGTACCGGCGTTTGGCGATTGAGAGGGAAGAGAGCGAGCGTAGTTTGCGGATTGGAAGTTTCAAAAACGCAGTCAACGGCCAGCCGGCGACTCATTCACAGCCGCAAATCCGGTTCGATGATTACGACCCGAAAACCACCTAGTGAGTGAATCGGTTCAACCAATACCACCTGGCGAAGGAATCACGGCATATACACCATTATTCTTGGGCCTGGGCCGGCCCAAATACTTGCTGAATGCTGATCACAGACTAATAAAGCTAGCGAGTTTAATAAATAAAATAAAATATGAACGCCGCTGACCGTAAACCTAAATCTGATTCTTCCGATGTCCACCGGCGACGTGAAAAGAAGGCAATTCGACGAGTGGTTGCCAGAGGAACTGACGATTCAAATCCTGTCCAAGCTGCCGACGCCCTCCTCCGTCGGCCGAAGCCGCTGCGTCAGCAGATAGTGGCGGCGCATCCTTTCCGACCCCAAAATCATCAAAAAATCCATCACGTCGCCGCTGCCATCCGCGGCCAGGTTCCTGATCGCCCACTCCGCCTCGTACACCGTCCACTCCTCCAGAGACCTCAGCATCCTCTCCTCCGGCGCGCTGCCCGCCGACACGTTCGTCGCGGGCTGCGCCGGCGGGATCGTCTGCCTCGGCGACGGCAGGATCGAGGGCAAAATCTTCCTCTGGAATCCGACGAGCTCGGAAACCCACACACTCCCCTCGATTCCGCGCTCCCTCCGCCGCCGCTTCGTCTCCCCGATCGGGTTCGGCTTCGACCCGGGGACGAGCGACTACAAGGTGCTCGTCTCGCTCCCCGCCGTTGAACACAAGCCCCGTAGATTGATTTCGTCACCGACCCAGAAGAAAACTCTGTTTCTGGTGTACAGCCTGTGTGGAAATTCGTACAGGAAAATCAAGTCCGTGCCCGACACCCTCGGCCGCGAATTGGACGCCGTCCAGTCGCTCGGCTGCTCGTCGTCGTCAGCAGCTAGATGTCACTGGATGTCGCCCTATTATTACGGCAATCGTCTCGCCCTTTTCACATTCGACATGAGCAAGGAAGCGTTCGCGGAGCTGCGATTGCCCGTGCCCATAGATCGGGTCGCGGATTTCTTTCGGGCGAGACATTCTTTCCACATGGTTAAAGAAGAGTCGTGCCTTGTGGCAATTTCCTCCAGAATTGAAGTCTGGAAGGGGACGGTTTGGGAGGTGTGGGCGACGCTGAGCTACGTTGCTCTGGCGGAAGGGAAGTGTTCTTGGGTCAGGTTGTACGAGGTGGTGGAGAGCTTCCCTGTTGCTCCGATCACCTGGCTGCGATTTCCGAGGCTGTGGAAGGACGGCGAGGTGTTGGCGCGGTGCAGCATGAATTGTAAGAACGAGCTGCGTGTGATGGATCTGGAGACGGAGCGCTGGGTTCTGGAAATCCAGATGAAATTGCGCGAGTGTGACCATTTGGAACTCTATACTTGTCTTCCATCTGCAATGTCTCTGTCTTGTTTTGGAGGAAGAAAGGGGTGTCCTTTGATTGGTTATTTAAAACTAGTAGGAATCTTTACCAATACTTTAAAGTATATAGTAGAAATGCTAGTAAGTGTAATTGAGATAATACAATCAACCATTTTTCTTATCTTATAAATATTAAACACCAAAACAATGCAGATTTGGTAAAGGTAAGAAACAATGAAGTATTCCATATCTGTTCTATCTCTGTGTTTGCAAAATCATACAAAATTAATGGGTAATTTTTATATATTAGTGTGATGACAATACTGACGATTTAAATGTATGAAACTGTTTACACCAAAATTAAATCTGTATCACATTGGTTAAATACAAGGGATTAAATTGTTTTATAAGATCAACTTAATTATAATAGTTCAAATTAATATGGGTCACACATATTAGATTTTTGGGACCATTACCCCATGCCATCATGCACGCTACTCTAGTCATGCAATCCAAAAATTGGCTAAGTGTTGGAGCACTCCATATGACATGATCAGCATACATACCACCCCAATGAGGTGATGACTGGTATGATCAGGGGTTGATGATGGACATACGCCCCTATGGTGTGGCCAAGGGGTGATCAACATAGTGTAGTTAGGGGGTAATCAGCACACCCCTTAGGTAGGAGGGTAGTAAGGTGGAGCGATGACGTGAGTTTGGTTAAAAAGGAATGGATGGCCGAATTTGACCAAGGGGTGATCACCAACCCCTTAGTGTTGGCCAAGTATGGAACGTGATGACTGATGAGTATGGCAAAGAGCACCCACCATGAGGTGGTCAAGGGGGTCATCAACGTACGGCCCCCTCGTAGTGGTGACTTATTTTTTCCGTTTTGACTCAAGAGGAGGGCACTATCGTCGTAGGGGCATCAATGGAGCAGAAAAGCGTAACCGTCACTCCACATAACCAGAGCGATTTTTAAAGAGAGTTACTTCCTGTGTGGGGAAGATGACAAAGAATGAGTTCGCCAAAATCACGCCAAACAACCTTATGTCTTCTTTATCTTTATGTTTTTATGTTTTGAACTCGTTAGTTCTAGCAAAGAGAGGCAACAATATTGAGGCAACAACTATAGTACTTGCAAGAAAACTATATGTATGAATCTTTCCCCTTTGTACACTTGCATTTATGAGTAAAAGCACATTAGACATATTAAGAAGTTCTCTTCTTCCATTGATTCACTGCAAGTTTAGAATCAGATCAGATCGAGGAAGGTACTCATGTTCGCCTCACTCGCCTAAAAAACAGGTATTACCCCATACAAAATACAAAAGAGATCAAGCAAATTGGGTAAAACAAATCATATTGAAATTGGGTAAATACCACATTTGATCACTGAGATTACTGAATCGTGTCATGTTTAGTCACTCGAAAAATTTAATATCAATCGTGGTCACTCGAATTACTGAAACATGTCACATTTAGTCAGTCTCCCGTTAGTTTTCGTCCAACTCCATTAATGAAGTTGGACGGAGGCTAACGGTAGAGTGACTAAATGTAACCTGTTTCAGTAATTCGAGTGAGTAAATGTGACATGTTTCAGTAATTCGAGTGACCGGAGATGGATGGAGGCTAACGGGTAGTGACTAAATGTGACATGTTTCAGTAATTCGAGTGGCCAAAAATGATATTAAAATTTTTTAGTGACTAAACATGATACAATTTAATAATCTCAGTGACCAAATGTGACATTCACCCTATTGCAAACATTTGCAATTACTACCGTATTTCGTCTTGGGCCTGGGCCGGCCCAAATACATGCTGATCAGAGACTAATAAAGCTATCGATTTAAATAAATAACACGGCCGCCGCTGACCGTAAATCTAAGCACACGATCTGATCATCCCGATCTCTCCAAAGATGTCCACCGGCGACGGTAAAAGAAGGCAATTCGACGAATGGTTGCCGGAGGAACTGACGACCCAAATCCTGTCCAGGCTGCCAACACCCTCCGCCGCCTGCTGATGCCGCTGCGTCAGCAAATAGTGGCGGCGCATCCTTTCCGACCCTGAAATCATCAAAAAAATCCATCACTTCGCCGCCTCCATCCGCGGCCAGGTTCCTGATCGCCCGCTCCGCCTCGTACACCGTCCGCTCCTCCGTCGACCTCAGCATCCTCTCCTCCGGCTCGCTGCCCGCCGACGCGTTCGTTGCGGGCTGCGCCGGCGGGATCGTCTGCCTCGGCGACGGCAGGATCGAAGGCAAAATCGTCCTCTGGGATCCGACGAGCTCGGAAACCCACACTCTGCCCTCGATTCCCCCTCCCCTCGGCGGCCACCTCCGGTTCGTTTCGCCGATCGGATTTGGGTTCGACCCGATAAGGAAACACAATCCCCGTAAACACAGTCCCCGTAAATTGGCATCGAGTCGGGGCACTCTGTTTCTGCTGTACAGCCTGTGTCTAAACTCGTACAGGGAAATCAGGGCCGTGGTAGACACAAAAGGTCGCGAATTGGACGCTGTCCTCCAGTCCTCTCTCGGCGGCTGTAGATGTCACTGGATTTCGCCGGGCTACTGCCGCAAATTTCTCGGCCTTTTCACCTTCGACATGAGCGAGGAAGCGTTCGCGGAGCTGCGATTGCCGATGCCCGTGCCGGTCGCGAATTTCTTACAGGCGAGACACTCGCTTCACATAGTTAAAGAGGAGTCGTGCCTGGTGGCAATTTCCTCCAGAACTGAAGTGGGGAAGGGGATGTTTTTGGATGTGTGGGCGGCGGTGAGCTACGTTGCTCTGGCGGAGGGGAAGTGTTCTTGGGTCAGGTTGTACAAGGTGGAGGGATTCCCAGTTGATTCGATCACTTCGCTGCGGTTTCCGGGGCTCTGGAAGGACGGCAAGCTGTTCGCGCGGTGCGCCATGAATTCGAAGAACGAGTTGCGGGTGATTGATTTAGAGACGGAGAAATGAGTTCTGGAAATCAAGATGAAATTGGAAGAGCGTGATGATTTGGAGTTGGTAACTTATCTTCCATCTAGGATGGCAATGGGTCGGGTTAGGGCAGGTTTTGTCAAACCCAAACTCAAACCCATGGGTTTATCTGCCAAAAAAACCCGGGGTAAAACTCGTTGGGTTTGAAAAACTCAAATCCAACCTAACCTGCTGGGTATTCGCGGGTTCATGGGTATCCGTGGTTTTTTGTGGTAAAAAATTTACAATAACAAGTTTCTTTTAAAATAAAAGTTTAACATCAATTTTCTCATTCAAATTGTTCATACAAAAAACACTAATTTAGAGCATACAAGAAAAACGCAAATGATCAATACAAATTGTTCAAAATTAAAGATAAACATCTATAAACCACAAGATAAATTGAAAGTTTCTTCCTCATCAACTAATTTTCTTCACTCTCCATTCCATAATATCAACTTCATTCTAAACAATTAGAAAGAACAAATTATTCATGTCTCCACAAACGTAAAGAATAGTAGTTGTTTAAGAAAGATATATTATTTAGAATATTAAATATAACGGAAAGTAATTATATGTGTGTGGGCGGGTACCCATGAGGCGGGTTTACCTAAATCCAAACCCAACCCAACTCGGTGAATAGTGTAGCGGGTTTAAACCCGAACCCGGCCCAAAACCCGTCAACACGGATTTTACCCGCGTTGACTGGACCGGGTCGGGTGGGTACCCGTGAGTTCGGGTTTTGTTATCATCCCTATCTACAATGTCATTGTCCCGCTTTGCAGGAAGGAGGGAATGTCATTTGATTCCTTAGTGCAAACGAAGGATGCACAACAAAAGTAGAGTAATGTTGGTTTGTCACTGCAATTGAAGAAAGTTTGTCTAATGAATGATTATTTCAGTTCAAGGGACAAGGAAGTAACTACAATGTTTTATGTACTATGTTCGGTTAATAAACAGTTGCGATGACTCGTGAACAAGGGTTTGATCCAGTGATCGTATTATTGATCTTGAATATGGAGATCTCAAAAATTCGATTTCGTTAAGTAGCGCCTAATTAAAAATCAAATGTCATTGTAGTTTAAGGGGCTAATTTACTGCGTTCAATAGGCTAATGATTATACTCAATGGTCCGTATGAACTCCTCTCAAAGGTGACTTCATTAAAAATGAGGCTAAATTGATAAGATATCATATCGTTTAAACGCGGTGCACCACTGAATCTAGCATAAATCTATATGAGTGTAACTGAGATAATACAACCAACCCTTGTTCTTATATAATAAATACTAAAACGACTCAATGATTTTTAAGCACATCAAAATAATATGAAAATTCAATTTGTTAAAGGTAAGAACTAGGAACCATTTTTGTACTCAGTATCTGTTCCACAGAAGTGCGTCTCATGCATCTACCTCACTGTATGCAAAACAATACAATGCGAACGGTTTTGTCGTGATGGCAATACTTATAGTTTGAGGAGAAATTTTACAATGCTATATAGTATTGATGCTATAAGATTTTGCCTTTATGGTACAACTTAAAATTGTACATTTACGTTATGGTACAACTTCAGATTGTACCTATACTTTTTGTACAAATTCTTTTATGGTACAATTTGAACTTGTACCTTTATGTGATGGTACAACTTCAAGTTGTAAAGTTGTACCATAACATAATGGTACAAATTGCTTTATGGTACAACCTAAACTTATACATTTAATGTTATGGTACAACTTTAAGTTATATATTATAGCACCAAAACTATATAGCATAGTAGAAGTGCTCATAGTTTGAGCGGTATGAACACGATTAAATATAATCAAAATCACAATTTCAATACAAAAATACTCTATCACTCACTTTTCCGGTATGATTTTACAATCTTAAATCTGATTTATTTTGTTACCAAACAATGTCACCAAATAAATACATACATTTACAGGTAAGAAACACACAGCCTAGCTTGTTGGAGAGGCAAACTTTTCGAGATCTTAAAATCGCCAGTTCCAACATGTACTTTCCAGTTTTGCTTCCGTTTTGGTCCTCTTAATCACTTAGCTCATTAATGACTCTTAAATTCCTTAATCATCACTCAATATTAATTAATTTATTATTAACTAATTAATCTCCATTAGTGATCAGTGTAACTTCCAATTTCCCCCATCACTAGATCCACCAATAAACTGTCCACAGTTTTATACACTACTCCCTTATATTAAAATGTAGCATTGTGCAGCCTCTGCGGTGCCATTTCTTGGCGCCTTTTGCTAATTACTTCAATTCCATCGAATATGACACTCAAGAAAAATAATAATATTATTATAATTATAATCATTATTAACTTAAATTTAATTCCATGGATCGTCTCGTCCAGCTATAAATGAACTGCCCCTCACAAGCTTCACCACTTTCACCTTCCCATTTCCCCCTTCGCCAAGAAAATTTCAGGGACTCAGATTTCTTGAGTCGTGGTTAGAGTGCTTGTTAATAATAATAATAATAATAATAATCAGTATATGATGGTCACTGTAGTTAGACTACTTGTTAATTCTGTGGTAGCCTTGCTGATGGTGGCTGCTGCTGCGTCGGCGGCGGCAGCCGGCGGAGAGGTGACGTACGACGGCAGGTCGTTGATGATCGGCGGCCAGCGGAAGATTTTGTTCTCCGGCTCCATTCATTATCCAAGAAGTACTCCCGAGGTATGTATATCATTGACAAAAGCTCAACCTGCATTTAGTTCTTCGTATGGTATCAGAGACTTTACTGTAACATAAAGATAATACGAGTTCTGAAATGATTTGAATTTTATTAGAGGAGCAGAAAGTAATATAAATTTTTGGTTATATTTATGAGAGTTTTTTCTTCTTCTTCATTTGTTACTATTGGTAATCCACAAGAATGAGAAGGAATGCTCTGTTTGGCAATTAGTTATAATATAATGAAGAAACCAAAGAAGGGTTTTTTTTTATAATTAATTGGAAAAGCTACAACTTTCAGTATCTGTGGGTTAGGGAGCTCCAACTAAGAGAACTTACCGAATTTGGAATGAGAATGTAAACCGAAACATACTAATAAGTCATGAGAAATAGACAATTTTGCCGTTCATACCCAAGCTAGAATCAATTTCTTTTTTTGTTTCAATGAAGAAAGTTAAAATTCGAGTAAAATTACTTGTAATGAAAAAAACTTATTGATAATGAAACAACTATTATGTCTTCAGATGTGGCCATCGTTGATCAGCAAAGCCAGGGAAGGAGGCATTGACGTTATCGCGACCTATATTTTCTGGAACCTTCACGAACCCCAATCTGGTCAGGTACGTTACTATTACACGACAAATGAAAATCGAATTAGTAATACACATTTTAAGTTGTATGAGGTACCCTATTTTGACTTACGATGAAGTAGACGAAAAATAAAGCAACTGACTTCGAATTCGAAGATTTCAAACTTGAATTACTAAACACGTTTAAGTTGTATACTATAGTTATACCCTAATTTGATGCTTAATTGCTTATGGGGGAAATTTTTGCAGTATGATTTCAATGGAGGCCTCGACGTTGTTGGGTTCATAAAGGAGGTCCAGGCCCAAGGCCTCTATGTTTTCCTCAGAATTGGGCCTTTCATCGAGGCGGAGAGGTCCTATGGGTAAACTACATTTCACTCCTTCATACTTCAACCAACTACCATTTCATACCCAAACTACAATATTTTATCGTTTGACTAGGATCTGGGATCTCAAATTTTATTTTCAAATTTCAGCACATGATTCTTGCTTGTTTTGTACTATTAACCAAATGAAACCATAAATTAGTTTTAAAAAAATATACTGCGGGGGGAGAAGAAAGGGAATCTTTAGGACCTAATGTGTAAAATTAAGAAAGTGTTGGTGTGACATTGCAGAGGGCTGCCAGTCTGGCTACGTGACATCCCAGGCATTGTTTTCAGATCCAACAACGACCCATACAAGGTACGTGTACTGCCACTTGACATGTTAGCCACGTGTGCGCTGCAGCGCGCGATCAGTGTACCGGTTTGTCATTCGAGTAAAAGTTCGAGGAGGAAAATGTAATTTGTACCTTCGAGAAATAACGTCCTGAGTCTTACTATGCACATTACAATTAGTTTGGTCGCAGGTTTACATGCAGAACTTCACCACCAAGATAGTTACCATGTTGCAGTCGCAAAATCTGTTCGCCTCACAGGGT